CACCTCGCGCAATATCTCCTTCACAAGTCTACCGAGATTCCTAAATCTCGCATCACCAAACTTGTCCCTGACTCGATTAATGAACTGTACAAGTAACCGTCTGGTTACCGGTCCGTATACGTCTGCGCCTCGGTAATTGATATTAGATAGGATACCGCCTATCCGTCGTATCAAGAACCGAATTTGTTCTTGCTGCGTCGTACTCAAGAGTGAGTAGCCCGGCTTATGCTGTAAACCTTGCAGATCGCAATGGATCCGATTCAGATGTTGCTTGTTAACGAACACCGATGAGTCTTCTCGTCGACGGTGTTGACGGTGAGTCTGACATACCCCTTCTGCTCTGGTGTAGGGCTGAGGCACGTACTCGATTGTCTGTTCAGGTCCCGCACGGAACCTATCGATGTCCTCTTGGACGGTTGGTGATATGGGGGTTGGGGGTCGTGTTTGAGAATAGGGGTGATAATACCTCTATTCTCCTGGGGTATCCCTAAGAGTGGTCCTCCGGCTTTGTAGCCACGGAGGGAACGGTCTTGAGGGGGCCATGCGCTCTCTACGGTCTCCTTCTGAGATATAGTCGCTCACACTTGACTCCGAACTAATGACTGTGGAGGAGGCTATTGGGTCCTCCGCTATTTCTCCGGTGCTCTCTACGTACTCGAGAGGCTCTTCCTCTTCTTGCCGTACAACTTCTCTAAGTCCTTCTGCGAGGCCTAGAAAGTCTGGGCGAAGACGGTTGTCCTTGTAGGTGGGGGGCGGGGGAATATATGCTGGTGGTGCTGGTGAGTAAGGAGGAGCAGCTTCTCTCCTTAACTCGTCCTCGTGAGGGTGATGCTGGGGTGCGACGCTCAGGTCGAAGTCGTTTGGGTCACCGCCCGATTCTTCTGTCTGAGCTTGCTTGACTACTCCGCTTATCAAATCGTGCTGGACCGCAGTGAGTATAAACTCAGCTTCAGGTCCACCTACTCTGCGCCAGAGTTCTTCGTCTTCAAACTGCGCCCTTGAGATCTCTACTAGATCTGGGGAGTCTGTGATTCGATGCAAGAACCACTGCGTGGGGATAGGTTGGCGAGGTGATGAAGGGATAGGCGACTCGCTTGCCTGTACTTCTTCTTCTACGTCCGGACCCTGTTCTCCAAGTCTAATAGACTCTCTCAGAGTCTCTGCTAGGCCGATGTACTCCCGAAAGAGCTCTTCTTCAGCAGGCCTGTTGAGGCCTCCGGCTGCAAGAGTTGCAAGTTGTCCTTTGACGTATTGCAATTGTTCGGCGGGGGTCCCGAAGAACGGGAAAGAGGAGGAGGGGGAAGGGGTACGAGCTTCTTGAAGGTCCTGTGCAAACTGGGAAGCGTGCGACGACACTTCCCGAGGGAATGAGTTTATCTGTTAAAACAAAAGTGACAACACAAGAAGAAGGAAGGTTGTCGATGCTGACAATTGACTAGTAGGATAGTCTGATCTTAATGTCAAGGTATTGCCCTTGACCCTACTCCAAACCCTAACCCCAGTACTCACTTGTGTAGTGCTAGTAGTTTCAAGAGGTAAGCTGGAGGGCTTGTCTTGAGAGTGGTTAACTCAGAGAGTGAGTAGAGAGAAGTAGACGGTGTATGATCTGTAAGATCAGACTGCCGTACTACGCTGCATTGCTCTGGTATTTATACATGAGGGAACCAGACCC